TTCCTGCCCTCATCTCTGCTCCCACTACCATGTTCTCATCCTCTCCCCGTGCATTGGTGCTCTTCTGATCACACACACAGCCTGGGCGCGGAGTTGATCTGTCTGAAACTCATCTGTTCTTGGCTGGATCAAGTTTTGTAGCAGCTCCAGGTATGATCACACCAGAACCAGTGCATGCGGAAGGCAGGAGTAAGAAAGTCTTGGTTAGAGTGATGGGGATGAAGAGAGGGAACGGGAGCAGGATGAGAGCTCTGGTTTAGATTGGCTAAAGGTGCTGTGAAGTTGTGCTTTAAGAGAGAAAGAGAGTTCGAGTGGAGTGCTGGCAGAAAGGGGCTGTGAACAAAGGATTATATGCAGCTGTCATCCTGGAAACAGGATTTGCTATATCCTTAAGGAGTCACCAATTTCTCTGCATACCTGAAAAGACTTTTGTTAATCATGTAAGCAAGATTTTTTTTTTTTTTTTAATTAAATCCACTTGGAACAACATTTCTTGTTGCAAAGCTACACAGTGAGGTATGATGCAGAAGAAACTAGGCAGGGTAGCTGTGGTGAAAAAACTCTGCAAAGACTTTGGCTACACTCCTTCCCTAAACGGAGCAAATATTCCTGGATCCAGGATGTATCAGAACCACTAACCCCTTGGACGTTTCTAGCAACACATGAGAGGTTGATGAGAGTTTGTGAACAAGAAAGATCCTTTCTTCCCTCCCTGCACACCAAGAATCCTTCAACCACTATTTGTACCCAGGGCTCTTCAGGGACACGGACGAAATTCATGCTAATTATCGTTGCCGTTTTAAAGCATTCAAATTTATTTCACTTCAGTGGTGTTCTGCAACTCACAGAATTAACAAATTCCTAGCAACATCAATGTGGTGCTCCAGCACAAAAATGCTTCTCAGGATGTGCCAAGCCCCCATACCATAGGATTTCAGTGTTTAATTCTGTAATATGCAACAACGTGTATGTAAACGGTACAAAATGTACCAACTTGTTCACAACAATCTCATTACTGAGTGAAGTGATTGTATCAACATGTCTAAGTGGTGATGGTGATTTAAGAAGTCCAACATTTGGTCTTAAAAAAAGATTATATTATTTATAAAGATCTGTGGGTGGAAAGGAAGAAGCAAAGCTCATCTGTCAGGAGAACAAATGAGGAATATGTAATGTAACTCCTCCAAGGCATAATGACAGCAGAAAGAGGGATATTGTTTAAAGCTGATGAAGAAGAGAATTTGTCCTATTCATACTTAGAGGCCTGGATGGAAAACCTCAGTATATTCCATTACAAGATAGAAGAATACACTCAGTTTCAAGAATAATGGTATCTTTACTGTTCAGTGCAATTCTTCCTATACTTCTGACTCTATGAGATAATAATTCCAGGTTGGCATCTGGTAAGAAAATACACCTAACAATCTAAACACAGGTTTCAAATCCTTTTTTAAAATAAATGGATAGACTTAAGCTCTGCTGTATGCTTTTGATGCATCTGGTGTTCTTCTGAACATAAGCAAAGCTGCTTTACAAAAATCCATGTGAATTATTTAAAGAATAAATATTCTCACATAGATATTATAAATCACATTTTTCTTTTGTTCTTGTGAACAGAAATAACAGCATTCATACGACCCTTTTCTCACTGCTACCACACAGACATTTCTCAGCTAAGCCTCTCGGGCTCCCCTTGCATTCCAACCTTTCCAGGACCCCCTGAACAGCTCCCACCAGGCCATTTACTGAAGAGCTTTGATCCAAAGTTAAACAAAAACTGTAATCCAAACAGCAATTCACTATTTAGACTCTTTTTAACCCTTCAGAAACTTCATTAAGAGCTTTTTGTCAGGGACATACCTGGCCTTCGACTATCCACTTGGAGATGGAGGTCTTACCATCATAACCTGGACGGAACTGAAGAGTGGCAGAGCGAGGGCTGATATTGGAAATCACCAGGTTGGATGGAGCACCTGGAAGTTCTGAAGAAACAGAAATGTAAATGAGAGGTGGAAAAGCTCTTTATCTGGGGCCCAGTAACACAGGTTGATGTTCATTGTTTCAGCATATAAAATACCTTGGTAACAATTATAATAGAGGGAGTAGCTGTGGGGTTTTTATTCTTTTTGGCAGAGTATTACACACAGCATTACTATTTCTACTACTCTGAGTGTGCACCACACTTTTACAGATCAAACGAGAAAAGAAAGTGCCCATCTACAGAATTGCAGCTACTGTTTTAGAGAAGTTGCATAACCAACAAAGCGTAGTGGCTCGGGGAAGAAGGTACTTCCCAGCTCCAGATCTGCCAGTCACTTGTCAAGTCAGCTAATTCCACCATACTTCTGCTTCCCAGAATTAAACGACAATAATTTTTACTTACTTCTTAAAGTACATACAACTTCAACATATTAACAACAGGAAACACTCAAATTTTTGTACAGCGTATGGGGAAGATGTTGTGATTCTCATATTGACCCTGCAATAGGTGGGGTTTAGAGGGCATTTCTGATGCCTGAATAAAGCAGACGAATTTTTAAAAATTTCTATTGGAAACAGAGAGGGTGACCTTCTACAGGGAAAAATCTGCGGCCCCAATCAGATCTTTACCTCACATCAGTCAAGCTTACAGCAGCATTTAGATTTTTAATATTATCTGAATTATCAACAAAAGCAAGCCCAGGAAAGAGATTAAATATGGATTGTTTAGAATAAACGCCGAATACTACCTGCATTTGCAAGGAATGGAAATTAGTGTTACAATCAGTAACAGTTCATAATGTTGTACCATGTGCAAATGCAACAGGCAAAAAATGGGCAGCTTTCTGGCATATATTTCATGTATGCACCAATACACAATATTTCTTGGTTCTTACTTCACATTTGTGGGAACTATGATCGATAAACTAACCCTGACCAAGTAGGATAATGCTGTTATCTGGCTAACAACAGGGAGCATGGCATTGATCCAGTCTACAGCTTGTCACAATTACCTATGATTAGGGGAAAGAAAGGCAAGTATACTTCAAGACATACAGAAAAGTTCAAAAATACCGGAAAAGGAAAAAACTGAATTACCATCCGTGATGTACTCTAACTGCTCCACTTTGGAAAATTCTACTTCTATAACCTACAAATTAACTGAAACTGCTTGTTTGAGGTATGAATCGGCTTTTTAGTTTGCTTGCTACACTGGATGAGGGACAGTGTAGAATTTTAAAGACAAAATGCAAAAAGGCTACATTTACAGGTGCCCAAATGGTAACTCAGATGATGCAGTACAGGACTACCTCCTCCCAGATCTTTCTCAGGCCACAACTTCCACACCCTGTAAATAAGATTTTAGTTTGATTATACAAGTGTCCTCTCATAGGTGACATAAGCTATACTACTGATAGAAGGAAAAATCTTTCTCTTTTAGCATCACCCAAAAATCTATTTTTCCCCCAAAGCAACACTTTTTGAGTTCATTCAGGCTTCATTCTCATGTTACTTTGTAAATGTCAAGAGATTCTGTATCGTATCCACTTTATTACTTTGTCCATTCCTTTTGCTGTCCCTACAACTTTTTTCATATTTCTGTTAAACAGCCTCAACTTTCTGATAATTTCAAATTGCAAGTGTGTTCATGTTGACGTTTTAAACTGCTCTAAAAATTAAATTTAAATTACATGGTAAATAATTCCAATGCTTTATAACGAAAATAATTTTTACTGTTGCTGGACCAAAGTAATTTGTGATCTTTGGAACATAGAAATGTGAAGAATCAGCCTGTTTTCACTTGTTTCATGGAGTTTTACCGACCTGGGGGCACACCAGAAGAGATGGTGGAGGACGTGACCCATCCACTCCCTTTTGCGGTCACAGCTGCCACCTCGATTGTG